TTGCTGTGAAGGAGATCAATGAAACCCCACAGACCTTACCCAACATCACTCTGGGCTTCAGGATCTATGATGACTATGCTGGGAGATATACAAAATATGCCACAATGAAACTTTTCTCTATTCAGAAGAAATTCATTCCCAATTATAAGTGTGAGATCCACAACAAACTAATTTCAGTGATTGGAGCTCTTCATTCTGGAATCTCTTTTGCAATGGCAGATATTTTGGGCATCTACAAAGTCCCACAGGTAGGATTTATAGCCTCGTATGCATATGAATTGAAGGCAGTGTTTAAAGAAAATATCTTTACGAAACACATAAAACATTGCCAATGTACTTAAGAGTCAGACTCTGTAACATGCATTTTAGAACTTAATGTGGTGATTGGAAGTCAGTTGTAATAAAGTTGTACATAAATATACATAGAGGGAATGTGATAATTTCCTGATAGCCAGGAAATCATTATTATGATAATTTTAATGAACTAACATTTTTTCTAAGCCTTCTGGAGTTTGCTTCTTTGTATGCTTTGAAGCCAGATACATAATGGTGGCTCTTACTCTATTAAAAATAAATAACAACATTAAAGCAGGATACAAGGGGAAGGAGTCTATAATTCTAAGTATTCCTAGGAACACACTTTCCCTTACATTTGGAGAAGAAAACATGTAACTTTCATTAAGTTCTCCCTGAAGTTATTTAACCCCTTTCTTCCTTGATGCCTCAGACTTAAATGTAGGAGAACTGAAAAGGGGTTTTGCTTGACAACACGTAATATTGTGACCATTCTTTGAGATATAAAATAAAAAGTGGGTGAACTTAAAACACTTCCCAAATATATCTTTGGTTTTCCTTCTGGCTTAACACATCCAAGTATAACTTTTTTAAAGCTTAGTATGCATTGTGAATCCAGCCAATTATAGTAATTTTAACACAACATAGGTGCTTCTTTTTAAGTGATTGTGATAGCGAAGGACAGTAGCCAGACAGAGTGGCATCCCTGGGGACATCCCTCAGTTTTCCCAGTTCTTTTGCCTGACCCAGTGTCTCTGTGGATGACGGACAATGAAGATTGTGGTAGGTGAGTTCAGTGACAGCCAATGTGTTGTTGTGGGACAAGAGGTGGACAGGAACAGCCATAGCCACAGAAGCAGACTTGGTGACTTTCTCTCAGTCCAACTTGGTTCACAGAGTTGTTACGGAGAAAAATGAGAAGAGGGAACACTATGTAGGCTGCCTTGAGCTCCTAAAGAAAGGGAGCATACCAATCTAGTCAAATAAATATATGTGCTAATAAATACATCAGAAACTCAAGAACGTCAATTTCAAAGTGGAGTTCTCCTGCATTAAAAACCTGTTGAAATGCTTGAAGTAAGGAAACTGATTTCTGTTTCAAACACGGGCATTTTTTCTTATTTCATTTACTGGTTTATAGAAAAGTATACATTCAGGAAGTTGGCAATGCAATTTTTAGAGAAAAGAATAGGAAAAAAAAGCATGACCTCCTTTACCAAATTTGTCCTGGGTTGTTTTTGACAAAGCTTATTCCAATTATGGAGAAACCTCTAAGGTTAACGAACATTTCCCACCACGTTGGCGTACCAAATTGTGAGAACATACTGTAGATAAAAAGACATACAAAATATATGATGAGAAGGAATAATGAGCACATGTGAGTCAGTAGATATTAAACAATGGCTATTTAGTACAGTGCTCAGTCCAATAATATTGAAAGGGTTGTAAGTGCAAAGGCAGAGAAATTGTGTCAGAATGTCACAATGCAGGTTTTGTGTTTTACTTCTAATCCCCACCCCTTATGGATGCTCATGATGCAAACACAAATATTAAATTAGCCACCAAGAGTTGTTTGGAGTGTGAGGTCTATCAGAAATCTAATGAATAAATAAAATAAATGCAAATAACAATTGTTATTCTTGTACAAATCTTTTAACTTTTCCTTTTGACAGATCACATACGGTTCCCCTCTGCATAAGAATGATAGCTCTGAAGCACATTCTTTCTATCAAATGGCCCCAAATGAAGCCTACCAATACAGGGTGATAGTCCAGCTACTTTTGCACTTCAGGTGGACATGGATTGGGATCATTTTTAAAGATGAAGATGGAGAAAGATTTGTGCGCACTATTTCCTCCATGTTTATTTCTCACAAAATCTGTGTTTCTTTCTTGAAAAGACTTAAGCCATTTTATTTAGGTACCATTTTTGATGAC